TTTGACTGGTCGATACAAGAGTGATCTGTGTAACGGAGAATGAAAATCATATCTATATTTAGACGGTTCCTACTGTTGGTTTATCCGGATACAGCCTTTATGAAACGGATACAGAAAAACGGATATCCGGGTCCAAACTCTAGTTTGAAGTAATAAATACTTTATTAATCATGGTCCACAAACGTATTAAAGAATCATCAAACATATTACGAAAGGCAGCCTCTGTTGGAGTGGGTACGATAGTATCAGATTTAGGAGGTAACTGAAAGTTTTCGTCTAACTGTCGCGGTTTTTGATTTTTGATTAAAGGCGTTGAGTGTAAAGTTGCAGACCTATGTGTCTTTAAACGAGGAGAGAAGATATAATGAAAGGTTTTGTCGCCAAGTATACATCAGATATCTTGAAAAACGTCGATCTGAATAATGGTTGCATTTTTTAAAAAATTTTCTTAACGTTAAACTGAAGGTTGCAAGTATACTGTATATTTTTCGCCGACATGTATGATAGGACACGGGGATGTTAAGTGGTTCGTCCAGTTCAGTCCCAGTTCAGTCACTGTTCAGTCAAAGAAAAAAACGAACTGAAAGTTCTAAACTATAGATGCTAGTGAAATTAATTTCGCCAATTTCACCAATTCACCACCAATTTCACTCATAGTGGTGAAATTATTTCACCACATTTCACCGTATTTCACCAGCATCTATATTCTAAACTAGTTTTTGAACTTGAGTTTGAACTCGAATAAACTTTGAAGTTCAAAACGTTCATTGAAATTCCTATTCAAAGAGCAGTACATATATACGAAACGTAGTTAACAATCTTTATATGTATCGATATGTAATTTTTTTTATAAGTTAACTCACATTTATATAATAACAAACTGATAAAATTGACCAATCACGAAAAAATTATCCTTTAGATTTATGCGAATCATTTTATATTTTTTCATCCCGTGATTACCAGTCTAGTTATGTAAAGTTTTACTTAACGTTAATGTTGGCCAAATTCAATTACAACCCTGGATAACTCCCCGAATTTTGATTGGTTAAAAAGGTACTGATTTTGCATAAATTTCGATCAAAATTATTTTTTGTTTCTACCTCTTCTATTCAGCCATTTTTAGGCAAGTTATATTTAATTTTCGAATGATAAAAGGATAAAAGTTAATTATTTTCGAATTAATAAAAACACTTGTTTGTCATGGAAATAATAAGAAAAGAAAGTTGACAACATACTAAGAAAACAAAAAAAAATTCTTTATGCCCATATTACTTTTAGTAAAAGAAAAAAAAAATGGTCAATCCTGCTACAAACATCAAGATTATTAAGAAACGTAACAAGCCCTTTAAGAGACATCAATCTGATCGCTACAAATCTGTAAAGGTATAGCTGAAAAAATTCAATAAAGCATCCATAATCATACATAGATCTTTAATGCTATTTTCGTTAATTAAATAAAGGAATCATGGAGAAAACCTAAGGGTATTGACAATCGAGTTCGGCGTCGATTCAAGGGACAGCTCCCTATGCCTAAAATTGGATATGGATCGAACAAAAAAACTCGCTATTTGATGCCAAATGGTTTCAAAAAATTCCTTGTTTCTAACGTTAAAGAATTAGAATTGTTACTTATGCATAACAAAACCTATGCAGCTGAGATTGCTCACAATGTCAGTTCAAGGAAACGAATCGCAATTATTGACAGGGCTCAACAATTGAACGTAAGGGTTATAAACGCTAAGGCTCGCGTTAGAACTCAAGAAGTTGATTAATCATAATAAAATATTTTTGTTATGGGTTTAATGACTTGACTTACACTTAATATTGGTCAAGTACGTAAAGCCAGAAGATTCTTGGAGTAATGTTTATCTGCATATAAAATATGTCGATTTAATGTTCTGTTAAGAAAGAATTTAATTGCCTTCATAAATTAAAACTTGTATCTTACAATTCAATTAGATTTCTTTCGCTTATGACAAAATTTTTAACATTTCAACATTTGAAGTATAAACCAATTAACACTTACCATAAATTAAATTTTACTAAAGTATCTCGATAATTATCTAAGTAAATCATGTGAAGATTCCTAGAGGTAAAATAAAAAAAAGTTCATCGAATTTTCTTGGATGGTTGCCGAGATATCTTTGCTCAAAGTTCTGTAAAAATTTAAAATATCTATATAATTACAATAACAAACACTTGTGCAATAATTTTGAACGAAGGTATCTTGACAGCCATTCAAGCAAATTTGATGAACTTTTTTTTATTTTAATGCTGAAGATTTCTAGAAGTAAAATAAAAAAAAAATCATTGAATTTGCTTGGATAGTTGTCAAGATATCTTCGCTCAAATTTATGTAATAATACCCTGCCTTACTATTTGTTGTTCATGCCTACCTTCATTATAATTTCCCACGAGATCATATCATGACCGGGAATCTTCCATGGGAAGATTCCCGGTCACAAATAATCACACGAAAAATCATAATAAAGGTAGGCATGAACAACGTAAGGCAGGGTATTATTCATGAATTTCCTGTGAGGAGTTAAAAATCACAACAGAGATTCCGATGAACATATGATGCAGATGGCCCTTCGGGCCATCTGTAGCCCATGTTCATCGAGAATCTCTGTTGTAATTTTTAAGCTCCCAGGAAATTAATAATACAAATTTAAAACGCCTATCGATATGCAAAAATAATTATCCATAACGATAGTAAAATTTTTTAGCATAATTAAAATTTCATTGCTTCGTTACGTCAAAGATAAAAATTTAATTAGTGGAGGATCGTTTAAATGATCAATTGACTAGAAAAAATAATTGTTCAAGTGTTTCACTTTTGAATTTCAAAATCGTTATCAGGGTCAATGGATTATTGCCTTATTGCTTATACAGTACTAAAAACTTTTACTACAAATAAGTGTTTTCGGTGTGATTGCTAGTAAACGTGACAATGCTCATTTATTATAATTGATCAAAATACAAATTGCAATTAAGTTGGCTTTTTGTTTCATTTTTCATATATAGTATTTACTTTCTATTTCGTTTTTGTAAACTTACCAAGCCTACCTGAAAATTACGGACTATTAGAACGTTTAGAAAATATTACGAGCTACTTTTACAAAGTACAAGTTTCATTTCGTAATCTTACAGTTAGAGAAAAATTTTAAGTTATTTGAACTAGTACTACTGACGTAGTAATTTAAAATCTAATGTGTTTTAAAACTGAACTTATTACTAAAGAAACTTTATTAGGACGAAGTTAATTTTGTATTCTTAAAAAAGAATTTACAATATAAGAAGCATCGGGTCGAATTAGTTAAACCGTAAAACAATTACAGATTACATGATTAGAACTAAGATATAGTTGCGACTCATGAAAAAGAATTGTAAATTTATTTTTACACAATTTTTCAATAAAAATTAACTTTAATATCTTAAATACATCGATTAATACATAGTCTAAGAACACGAATATACATTATGTAATTAATAATAGTTTTAACGCCCTGTTCAATAGACCTATAAAAAAAATATAGAGACGCGGATTCGATTACTATAACTAAATATAAAATTCGTATTTCACGTCCAAGAAACTTAGATAAAAAAAAAAAAAACCCATTACTATGAGAACCACTTCAATTGATTGCATCGATCTTGATCGCTTAAGAAAACCACCCTAAATTAAAAAATATATATATTGTAAGTTTAAACATATCGTTATTTAATAAGTTACCCACAATAGCTACTACTTCAGAATACCAGACTCTAATAACCGCGCTGGCTGCCAGAGGATTGCAACTATACTCTCTAAGATGGAGCTTATCACATCTTACGAGAATATCCTTCCAACCACATCCATCACTTCTACCTGACTACAAAGTGAATTTGTGTATTTGGTAAAAGCTAGGCAAGCGCACGAACATTACTCTACCACCTGCGCAAGAAGGCTTTCCGTGTGGCGAGGTACAAATAATGTCGCTGTTATTAGTTATGGGTTGTCGGTTTCATCTGAAGTAGAGCCCTGATGATGCGTTGCCGTGGGGGATTGCAACTATATTCTCTAATAAGATGGAGCCTATCCCACCTTATTACGATTGAGAATATCCTTCCAACCACAGCCGTCACTTCTAGCTGACTACAAAGTATTTGTGAATTTGGTAAAAGCTAGGCAAACGCACGAACATACTCTAAACCCGTCCAATATATAAGGCATTTGTGTGGCGGGATACAATATTGTCCGCTTCATCAGTTTTTGCAAAGACTAAAAATATTGCATGTGAAGCTAACCTTTTACAGGGTGAAAGTAACTTGTCATAGTGTTGATTTACGCGTTCGTTATAAGGTGATATCCACCGATTTATTTATTTTGACGCGTCATAGGACGACTTTCATCTGATTGGCTGATGTAAATCAATTACCCGGGTAACTTTACGTACGAACGGCACAGATTCAAAATTTGCGCACCTAGCCTATATATTATGATCACTAGAATAGCGAGTAAGTTCCATAATAAAATTTTTTACTATAATTCACAATAAAAAATCATGATAATTTCAATGCAAACTAACTCAATTTTAACTAAATACTGTAGTAACCGGAATAGCAAGTAAGTTCTGCACAAAATTATTTACAGCAATTCGAAATAGAAATTATGATAATTCTGATGCAAACTAACTCATCTTAAGCGCAAAATCACGTTAATTCTAATGCAAACTATCTCAAACTTATCTACATACTGTGATCGCTGGAATAGCAAGTACTATAACAGAATATTTACAGCAACTAATGTTTGAAATTATAATAATTCTGATGCAAACTAACTAAATCTTAATCACATATAGTAGTTATATCGCACATTTATAGATAAAATAATAAATAAATAATATAATATAGAATGCATCGTGATGAGAGACAATATAAAATAGTTAATCATAAGTAAATGACTAAATAAAAAATAAGGAAAGTTAGCCACTTAATTGTAATAAAAAAAGATTGAAATAATAAAATTTTATATGTATAAAAATCTCGTCCAAAAAATTATACAACAAAATGTGTAAAGACAAAATAAGCGCCAAACAATTTCTAATCATTATTAATACAAAGCTTTGCTATAAATTATATGAAATCGATAAAAATTTGAGAATTGCACTAAAATTACATTATAATTAATATGTAAAGGGTTAATATACAGCAATACAATACGATCAGTGTTGGGCAAATTAGTGGTCGACCAAAATTTACTGGTCAAATTGGTCTGGTCAAATTGGTAAAATTGGTCAAATCAATTATATAAATATATATATATATATAATAAATTCCAATTTGACCAGTACAGATCCTTTGACCAAACCGGTCAAATTGGTCTGGTCCAATGGTCAAACTGGTCTGGTCAAGCCAACACTGATAATGATATAGGCCCTATTCAACGG